TAATTGACATTGTACTGGTGTATTCTAACAGAATACTGGACAAGTACAAGCAAAGTGCTTGAATTTAGAATCGTTTGGTTTCAGGTAGTCCTAATAGTAAAGAACTTAGTACATTGAAATTTAACATGTCGCAACTTGTACTGGAGAAATTTGATTGTGAGGGGGAACCTACATCTGTAGGTACTAGATGGGAGCGTTGGAAACGTGCACTCTTTATTTACCTTGAGGCATCAGGTATAGAAAATAGTGCGAAAAAGAGAGCATGTTTGTTACACTTTGGCGAGCTTGAATTGCAAGAAATCTTTTATAATATCCCTGACGCCGCCATAATACCTGCTGAAGGTTGATGTTTTTCATATAGCTATAGAAAAACTAGATGCATTTTTTGCACAAAACAGAGTAAGGTGTATGAACGCCATCTATTCCGGTTGATTAAACAAGAACAAAATGAAAAATTCGATAAATTCTTAATACGATTAAGACAACAAGCAAATAAATGTGAATTTAAAGATAAAGATGATCAAATTATTGACCAAATAACAGAGAAATGTTCCTCCAGGGAACTTGGAAATAAAATATTACAAACAGGAGATTCAATAACTTTAAGTAATATAGTGGTAGAAGCAAATGCTCTCGAAGCAGTTAATCGACAGATGGAAGAATTTGGAAGTAGCAGCGTAAATCAAGAGATTAATAAAGTGGATATAAGTCAAAAAGAGGGAGACAACAACAAAAAACAAACAATTGAATGCAGGAGTTCAAGACACGCTTCCCATGATAGTAAGTGCCCAGCGAAAGATAAAGACTGTTTGAAATGTGGATTAAGAGGACACTTTAGACTTTTTGTAAAACAAGACGGCAATTGAAAAGGAAACACCAAGCAAGTAAAAACAACAATAATTACAAAAACCTTAAGAAATTTAAATCATCATCGTCGAAATCATCATCATCAATCGAATCATCAAAGAGAAGGTGCTAATCAAGTGGTGTAAAACGAAAAGGATGATATACATTACGTTTTTCGAATCGATGAGAATAGCGAGTTGAAGTGCAACATTGGTGGGCCAAAGTCAAAATGCTGATTCTGGGTGTAAATGTAATTTGATTACTGGTCAAACTTGGCAAAAAATGAAAAACGACAAAGTAATGATACGTAAACAAAATCAGAATCCTAATAAAACTTTTTTAGGGTAGGGAAGTATCAAACCACTACATGTGATAGGTGTGATAGCAAATATGGCTATCCTAAGAGAAAACCACCCGTTACCAACCATGGACAAGTTATTGCCTAAAATTAAAAATGCTAAATTTTTCAGCAAGTTTGATATTAAAGATGCATTTCACCAGATTGGGATACATCCAGACTCAAGGTATATTACCACTTTTTTACCAGCAAAGGCCTATTCAGATATAAGCGGTTAATGTGACAAAACTTTAGAGCGTATATTATTAGGATGTGAGGGGCAAATCAATTTCATAGATGATATATTAGTTTATGGAAAAGATGTAGAAGAGCATGATTGGAGGCTAAAAAGCATGTTAAAAACTTTACAGGAAAATAATGTGGTCCTAAAGAGAGACAAATGTCAGTTTAAAATAAGAAAAGTGCAGTTTCTAGGACATGAACTATTAGACGGGGGCATTAAACCATTAGCAAAATACGTATAGACTATCCAAAAATTTCGATCTCCTACGAAGGTAGGTTAGCTTCAGAGCTTTTTGGGACTAATAAACTTTATTGGGAAATGGATACCAAATTTAGCAACTGTAACGGAACCCCCAAAAGAATTGCTAAGAAATAAGCAGGGGAAATTATCAGAGTTAAAAGAACTCTGGGGAATAAAGCAGGAGACTGCGTTTAACAAACTAAAATCTGCATTTTCTACAATTCCTACTCTAGGATATTACGACGTTAAGGATCGCTATCTAGGTCATAGCAGATGCAAGCCCAGTAGGGCTAGGGGGCGTATTGGTTCAAATAGACAGTAAAGGACCTCGAATCATTGCTTATGGTCAAAAACCAATTACGAAAGGCGATACTGCCAAACAGAAAAAGAGGCTTTGGCTCTTGTTTGGGCAGTAGAACATTTTAATATATTTTTGTACGGCAAGGAGTTTGAGTTGGTTACGGATCATAAACCACTTGAGATCATATTTGGACCCAAGTCCAAACCACGTGCTAGAATTGAGAGGTGGATATTACACCTGGGAAAGACAACGTCGCAGACTGTTTATCAAGACTGTGCCAATTTGAATATTTCTCAATGGATAGACTGGAATTTCACATACACCAAATTGTAGATTGTACAAGACCTGTAGCTGTTACATTGAAGGATATTATAGAGTGTTCACAAGAAGATCAAGAAATATTGAAGGTGAGAGAAGGCTTGTACAATAATAAATAGGATGAAGGAGTGAAAACTTACAAAATTTTTCAAAACGAGCTTTGATTTTATGAGGGAATTTTATTGAGAGAGATTAAAATAGTAATCACTAAGAAACTACGCAGTCTAGTCCTAACAGCAGCCCATGGAGGACATCCAGGGATAGTGTTAATGAAGGCTAGGCTAAGAACCAAAGTATGGTGGCCAAGGTACGATAAGGATGCTGAGAACTTGGTGAAGTTTTATAAAGGTTTGTAAAGGCTGCACCCTTGTATTGGTACCAAATCCTCCGAATCCAATAAAAAGAAGAGAATTACCATACGAGCCGTGGGTGGACGTAGCTATCGACCTGATGGGTCCTCTACCAAGTGGTGATTATATGTTAGTTGTTGTGGACTACTTCAGTCGATATAAAGAAGTGAAGATATCTCGCAAGATCACCAGAGATCATACAAAATCTCAAAGAAATTTTTAGCTGATTGGGTAACCCGATGACTATAACTGCTGATAATGGAAGGCAGTTCTGCATGAAGATTTCAAATTATTCTGCACTGAAAGAAATATTATCTTGTTTAATACAATACCCTACTGGCCTCAGCAAAATGGGGAAGTTGATCGTCAGAATCGAGACATTTTAAAGCGCCTTAAAATATGCCAAGTCGAGAAAAAGAACTGGCAAGAGGGTTTGTTGGATTATACGATTATGTACAATAGTACACCTCATAATGTGACCGGAAAAACTCCAGCGGGGAACTGTTCTTTAAAATGCAGTTCCGTGATAAAATCCCAATGGTTGCAGATATAACTCGTATACTTGAAGACTCTGAGGTCAGGGACAGGGATCATGAAAAGAAAGAAGCGGGAAAGGAATATGCAGATAAGAAGAGCAAGGCCAAAGCATGTGATTTAGTACCAGGAGATAAGGTATATACAAAAAACTTTAATAAAAATAATAAATTAAGTTTAAATTACGATCCAGTCCCCCACACGGTGCATCGGAGTGTAGGTGGGGATGTGGATGTACGTAACGACGAAACGGGACAAGTCTATAGAAGGAATATAGTACACTTGAAAAAAGTTGAAGGAAGATGGAAAGTTCTTAGTGAACAGAACAAGGATTTAAATATTGGAAAGAATGATGGAAGGATAGAAAGTGACGTAGAGGAAGCTATAGATTAGAATCGTACAAATAAATGATAGTGGAAACGATTTAGATGCTATAAAAGAAAAACAACGTATAAAATATTAATAATTATTTAATTTCATGGTAATATGTTTATGATGAATGATTTTCAATAAATAAAGTAGTGAGAAGAAACAAAAGATGTTTTATTATAAATAATTTTATAAACAACCAGACAAACGTAAAATTAGTAAATTAAAACAAAGGAAGGGATGTAGTGTATGTATATATACAAAATTGTCTCGTGCGCATACGTCACAATGTGGGGGTAACGAAAGGCCAGTCTCGGTCCGACAGCCGGCCTGGTAACACGTGTGGTGGTGTTGGCACGTTGACGAGCCAAGCTGTTAATAAACAGTGAACAATACAGTTAGAAAAATGTATATTCACATTATTACTTAAGTATTGATTGCTGCTGGCGATCGTTGGCGCGAACGCGTGACTTACCGATACGGAGGATAACATCGTCTCTTTCATTCTTATGCATAGATTACATCTCGCTCTTTACCTTACACGTAATAAACAACAGTCAAACGAAATAACATCTAATTTTTTAATTTAAAAATATACTTACGAATGAAATAAGACATTTTTCTTGTCTCTAACAGTTTCCCTGTAATTTGTGCACCATCTAAAACACAGGAAGACATTTTTGCCACGAATAACTCGAAAATTTACGCGCTATAGCAAATTATAGCCGCGACGCGAGAGCGTGCCCGACTGAATGCGAGCCTGGCAATTACCTACCCTTCTTATTGCCATTCTGGAGCGAGTATGATGAGCGAATATGGTATCTATAACTTTTAAAACATCTTAAGAGTATAACAGCTTGTCTTCTTGTTTTTTAAGTACAAGTAGATGAAGTTAGTTGAATAATGCACAAACTTTCTTCGCGGCATTGGTGAGAAAGTGATCGTGCTCCGTAATTTTTTTTTAATTTTTCACATAAAGAAACATCAAAAAATGGGAAAAAAATATTGTATTGTGCGTGAATGTGCAAGTGGTTGAGCATCTAATCGGAATAATAGACTGAAAATGACTTTAATTGTAACAACTTAGCGATCGCAGCGCCTCACTTATTTTGTCCATATTTCTATGACACTATTTTCTACAGTGATCCGTCTCTTTCTCTCTAACCCGTGAATTCAAGGCGTGAATTAATATAGAGCCGTCATAAGTTTTTATTTATAAAGCATGAATATTATGTAAAAAAATTGTGAACTATACACGTCACATAAGGCTGTATTTTCGCAGCTTCCTTTGCCAGATTGCCACTAATTAATGAAATCTTTGGTTTTTATATTATTTTTTATATTTTTATTAGGTTAGGAAAACAAAAAAAATAATATTATTTTAAATTTCCATGAAAAATAAGCCCTAAAATGGCATTAAATAGATTATTTGCCAGTTTGACTGTTACACCAAATTTGATAATGAGGAGAACGATACATATGTCGTGTTATAATTTTGCGAGTAAACCTAATATTCAAAAACCAAAACCCGGATTTGGTAAAAGTTACAGGCGAATCATACATTTTCCAAATGAATATACAGTGAAACCTTTAGATGTAACAAATCTCGCTGGAAGGGATCCTGTGACAGGTTTATTAGTCATATATTATTGATTTTTAGGTACCTATGATATTTCATACGTTTACTAAAATAAAATGTTTTTTTTTTTTTTTGATAATAGGACGAGTGGTTGCCAAAGGTATAGGTGGAGGTATAAAACATAAATATCATTGGATTGATTGGCACAGAGATGGGCCAACAGAAGGACCACCACAAGAAGAGAAAGTCATTCAGGTAAATATATTGTCAATAATTTATTTATTCTGTATGTTATAAATTTGAGCTGTCCTGATAGGCTAGATGTTCAACCTGGGAAAGTGATCAACACTCCTTGTCACTATGTAAAATTTGGTTTTATGCTGTATTTCTAGAAACTTCGATGGAACAATTTAGGATTTAGCTTTCTGGTAGTGGTCCGGCATGTATCGTTGCCACTTCACTTAGCACAAATAGAAGGCCATGTAGTTGTAGCCAGGCATTGAGTTATATGTACTACATACTAGAGAAGCTATTCGCACATGCGCAGTTGATGTAAATGTGCGAAAGTTGTCATAATAAATAATAGTTTATTTAGATTGTATTGTTAATTGAGTACATATTTTTTTATTTTCGTTTATTTTGCATATGGGCTAATTTAATATAAAATTATTAATAGCGCTGCTCCGCACTGCATGAATATTGAAGCCACAATAACAGGTGTATGGATTGCAGTGGAGTTCAGTTGAACATAGTGAGTGTTCGAAATGCCATATCTAGTGCATGTATATTGATGTAGCCAGGTCAATATTTGCTATGGTAATCAAAGATCATTTATTTATCAATTTTTGGTTTTTTCCAAAAACTACTCGATGTTTCTTATATAAAGTATAGCCGAGATCGTTCCTGGCATTGCTGTTTATATGTTCATAAAGATTCATATCAATTGGTTCAGCCAGATTAGCCTGGATAAAAACAGACCGACAAAAATTTTAAAATTTGGTTATCTATGTCTTAAGCCACGTTGATACGATCAAAGTCTGCTTTGAAAAAGTAACTTTGACTGTATAGCTTTGATTTACTTTGATACCGGTTGACACATACATAGTTGACTTGGATCAGTTTGTTCATATTTACCGTCCTTCGAGAGTAACAATACCTATAAAAATATGTCTGACGAGACAGATTTGTTACTAGACAGTGTAGGAATTATCGCAGACTTGTTAATGCAAGAGCTAAAATGAGTAAAAAAAAGAGAAAAACCGGAAAAAGGCGAATTTGGACTCCCTTCTAAATTTTACGTCGCAATTATTTGGGAGCATCTTATTAATTTCCTTCCAGAAGTGGAACAGAAGGACCGTGCTACACAATGCCACGTTTCTGACATTCTTGTTCTGGTATTCTTTGAGCCTCACATCCCAAACAATTACTTCTGCCTCTTATAATTCTACGAATTTTAGAGTATTCCGCTCACTTCACTTTGTTTTATTACAAAATGCCCTTTGTTTTTATATCTGACGCCATTTTGTTTCGTTTTTTGACATCAAAATTGGCTTGAAAAGTAGAACACAGTCCAAGTTAACTTTGATTAACGCCCATATCAAAGTGCGCTTTGATTGCTTGTTTACACAATCAAAGTAGCGTCAAAGAAGTCATCAAAACCACTTTGTCAAAGCAGACTTTGAACATGTCAACGCGGCTTTATAAAATAACTTTCGAATAACTCCCTGAACTTAATAGAAGTCAGTTATTTCCATATTACAGACCATATTATGCTAGTATAGATATATCTTTCCATATGTTTATTATGTTGTGTACCTTTGTTTTTGCATTTATTTTCATCAAAGCCTGCCCCTGCCAACACTGCTTATTCTCCCAGGGTTTACTGGCAGAGAATGCTACAAGACATTAAGCCCATCCATAAATAAATAATAAATTAAATACAAGTTACAAGTGGAATGATTTGTGGTGTGTTGAGTAGAAAGCAATTTTTCTAAAAGAATGTTGTAAAGCACAGGAGCACAATAGCAATCTAATCTAACTAAAACCTGCTGTAGGCCACGAAACAACTAACAACAAACATAGGACAGAATCTGTTGACAGAGGGGACCTTTGAGGACTAAGATGGAAAGCCTCACAGCCTGTAGTTTTACAGGCTTACTTAGCTATTAAACCGGAACATGATGCACCAATCCCGATGGACTCATTGGCAGAAAACCAGACCTAGTAGACCTGTAAACAATGTACCCATACTTCATACAGTTAATAATGTATTTGATGTTCTTATTTTTATTTTAATAATAATATGTATAAACTAATGTCAACTGATTGCTCAAATGTGTCTTAACATCCAGACAAACCCATAAGGGTTTTTGTAATGTTTATATTGTGATTTTCTTGTATTTTTTCTTATATTAAATTTAAAACAAAAGAGTTTTTTGCTTGTTTGGTTCTCTTTTGTGGGTGCCAACTTTTTCCTTAAAATGAGCTTAAACTGAATAAAAATAAAAATCTATCTAAAATAAACTGAATAAAACAATGAATGAAATGAAAGCTATATTTTTTTCTTCAACCTCATTTTATATGTAAATGCGTTACCAATCTGATGTCTAATGAAGTAAAATGAAAGCTTTTCAGTGGGTATTGAGATGCGAGTAGATACTTTCTATTAATTAATATTATTAGTGAACCACTTCAAAATTATTTTCAGATAATGGAAGATGGCTGCAGAACAGCTCATATAGCCCTTGTTGCAGTTTGTGACAAACTGAAATACATACTTGCAACTGAGAATATGAAGGCAGGTGACATTTTAAAGACATCACGTAACTTGCCAAGAATACCAGGTAAGAATTACTTACTTAAAAGCAAGTAAAAACAACTTAACAATACGGTTTTAATATATGTGTGTTGGTGCAGCAGTTCCTGTATGATCTGTGGTTATTTTATTAATACATTTCAATCAGTATTTCACAGTAACATTATTTTTGATATTTTCACTACTTTTTTTAATAGAATAAGGGTGACAAACGAGCACACAGTCCATGATGGTAAGTGGATGCTGTGACCCGTAGACATCTACATTTATCCTCGATTAAGAATCAAAACGGAGATGCGTTGTCATCCCTGAGGACTAAGACGGAATGCCTTGTAACCGGTAAAAAAGATCTCCGAGTCTCTACACTCACCATACAAAACACCAGCAGTATTAAACTGCTATTTTACGCTGGTATTCTGTGAGAGCGTGGTCCTTCCCCGGTCGAGCCGACCCCTTCGTGTTACAACTATAATATAGCTGCAGCATGGCTCTACCACATATAAACTATACTATATATTATGTATCTGTATAAGATGCGGTGTTTATTGAATTTATAACATAAATTATTGTATTATTGAATCTATGATATATATATATATATATATATATATAAATAATAATACACTATACTATAGTGTAGTATATTATTTTTTGATAATTGCCATGAACTGATAACATTTTGTTATAATTATAGTAACAGTAATTACTATAACTTGTCCTACTGTTATAAAAAAAAAATGTGATATTCTTAATAGAATTTGGTAACATCTAACCATAATTTTAATATTATTATACCATTACATTAATTTTAATGTGTTATATAATTAACATATTTTTATAGTTCATTGATAAGATAGAAGAAAAGAAAAAGTCCCTTTTAGGTAGATATTAGAGGAAAAATGCAAAATTGAAAAAGCATGTTTAAGATACTTTGACTCAGATTTTCGCATTTGTTCTGTAGGAAACAAAATTAAATGACTTTATAAAACAACACATTCCACATTAATAAATTAATGTTAAGTTGCACTTGCAAACTCAGGTTAGTAGTCTAGAATTAGGTGAAATTTTTGACACTCTTCACGGAGGAGAAATTAAACTGTTAAGAAAATATAAGGGTTAATGTTTCTTTTGAAATATTTTTAAATCATATATTAATTTGATTAAAATGTATAAACCAAACTACGAATGTGCAAAAAGGGTTATAAAATGTGCAAAAAATTAAAAAGCAAAAATTGCCACATTGTTATGTGTTTATAGGTGTATATGTGGTTTTAACAGGAACGATCTGCTCGACCAGGTAAGGACTATGCTCTCACAGAATACCAGCCTAAAGTAACAAATAAAGTTTTGTATGGTGAGTGTAGAGGATCGGAGACACTTTTTACTGAAAATGAGGCAATCCAACTTAGTCATAAGTGGTGACAATTAGAGATGGGCCGAATATGGATTTCACCGAATACGAATATTCGGCCGAATGTTCGGTAAAACTTTTATCGAACCGAACATTCGGCCGAACTGTATTCGGCAGGATCACCTCTGTACATAATCAATTTATGTCAAAACTTGTTACCGTAAAGTGCGCGGGATTATTGCCGGACCCTGCCTATCGCTCCCCCGTCACACCTGACATGTTATTGCATTATTTAATACTGAGCAAATTACCGGTACATGCTTAAAACATTATGCTATACAAGTAGTTTTAACCCATAAATAAAATATACTTTCAACAGTAAAATTATGAAAGACATGGCATTACTCAATTCGTACATTTAAATACAGTGGACACTTTGAGTACCACTTTAACGAATATTCGGTGATTTAGCCGAATACGAATATTCGGTAAAGCTGCCGAATATGCCGAATACCGAATATAAATTGAATATTTGGCCCATCCCTAGTGACAATGCATCTGCACTTTGATTCATAACCAAACATAGATGTATCAACTTACCATTAGATAGACTGTGTCACAAATTAATTGTGATCCTTATTCTATAAAAACACTACTTAAAATGTCACATATGGTTAATAGACCAGGGTCGATAATTTTAGAAACTAAAAAAAATTAAAGTAGGATGAAACCTATTGGAAAAGGAAGGGAATACCACTAAAATGATAGGAAAAATAAATTACGGGCGATCTGAGGTTGGGAAGGGGTAGGGGGGGGGGGGGGTTTAAGGGTAAAAATCGGAAAATCTCGATTTCCGGCAAAACTACAAGTCCTATCGAAAAAAGTTCAATGGCAAAGTTGTAGATAATAAAAAGATCTACAACTTTTGTATCTATAGTTTTTCTCCATAACCTCAAAATTCATGTGAAAAATCCAAAAAACCACATTTTTGATTTTTTATTTTTATCTTTTACAAAAAAATTGTTTTTTCATGATATTTGGTGAAAACTTACCTCTTTATGTCCCAAACACTGGAATTCTGAAGATTACAATATTAATTTTTTCACCCTATTTTGACTCGATATCGAAAAAGCACCCTAATTTTCATCGAATATTCTCACGTCAAAATATCTGATTTTTCAAAAAAAGTCGGTGGGCTTTTTTGTTCGTTGATATCTCTATTTTCTGATGGTGTAAAAAATATACATTACTATTGAAAACAATTTTAAAACTATGCAAAAAAACGAAAAAATTTTCAGACTATGCAAAAAAACGAAAAATACTAAAATTCTAATTTTTTTTAAATCTTTATGTACAATTTTGAGGTATTCATTAAAATTTTTACTTTAATTACTCGAAAAACGTTAGGTTCCATGTTAGATTAATAAACAAAAAAATTACAAACCAATTAAACATAAATATCGCAAAAAACATGGTTGTAAATATTAAAAATACGATTTATTAGGGGATTTTATTAAAAAAATGTGACTACTGCTATTTTTTTTCAGTAATAAAAGTTTATTTATTAAATTTTCATTACATTTATATATTAGAAAATCTCATTAGATAGAAATATACACGTAAATCGTACTATTGAGTAGAGATATTTTTTAATGATTACATTACACATTATATTATTTTTAAAATCATTAATCTTTGTATTTATCAAAACATAGTATTCAATTCGAATCACTTATTCATCAGTTTCTGTCTTTTTGATGGTATTTCTTGATCGTTAGATTCGACAGGCCTTTCTGATTTAAGTAGATCTTCGACATCTTCAAGACCATCATCGTCTTCGTCTCCAACATTATTTTCGGTCTGCATTGGTTCTTCATCTGCAATTTCATCTGAATCATTAACTTCCTCGTAGATTTTTTCTCCACATTGGCGCATTGTTCAGAACCATGACAATTTGAGCGTAAATTTGTGCATTTTGTCGAAGAAAAACCAGAAAAAATCATGTTTTCGGCAGCCACATTTTAAACTATTACATCCAGTTTCACAGCTGCAGCAAATAGTTTTCCGGAATTAATTCCATTTTTGTAAATTTGGGCATAATTCCATGTTGATGTTGCTTCCAGCCCCAATCTGTTGCTGTCAATTAATTACCCAGCCACGTTTGAAGCTGATAATAAGCCCTGTAACAATGTTGTTCTGCTGCACCTTCTGTGGGTGGGAGATTTGCCAATATGAAAGATGATTTAATTTTTACCAATAGATATTTTTGAAATCTTAATTGATTCAGTGTTATATTATCCTTTTTACATTTATAAATAGATTTAATTAATTTTAATCCATTTTTTTATATCTTCTTTGTTTACATCTTTTTTTTTAAATATTAGCCAAATTTAACAAATTTTGATTGTCTAATAATGAATTTACGATAGTTTTCTTTCCTTTTCCGGCAAATCAGGATGTTGTGTCGCAACCAGAAAAACAATGCAGAAATGCAACGATTTTTACGGATTCATATTTGAAACTATTAGACGTGAAAAAAGATCTTTTATATTTCCAGAACCGGGCTTGAGAAAATGAATTTTATGATTATTAGAATTTAATTGATTCAAAAGGACCAAAAGATCAATATCTTGTCCTACAACAATGACAGTTTTATTAGTATCTTTGGCAATTTCTATCGAGGTCTTAATAATGTCAGCATCAGCATCTTTTAAAAATAGCAAAAAATAGGCATCTAGCATATAATTTAAAGAAAATTCGACAAATTTCTCAAAATTTTGTAGATGTCATATTAAATACTAAACTTTATTAACTTATTTAGCGTTGTTAATTATAAATACATTTCGACTTGCAATTTTTTGTTTATTAATCTAATATGAAACCTAACGTTTTTCGAGTAATTAAAGTAAAAATTTTAATAAATTTTTACATCTATATCAATATTGTACATAAAGTTTAAAAAAAAATCGAATTTTAGTATTTTTAGTTTTTTTGCATTTTCTGAAAATTTTTTCAATGGTAATGTATATTTTTTACACCATCAGAAAATAGATATATTAACGAACAAAAAGCCCACCGACTTTTTTGAAAAATCTGATATTTTGACGTGAGAATTTTCGATTGAAAATTAGGGTGCGTTTTCGATATCGCGTCAAAATAGGGTGAAAAAATTAATATTTTAAATCTTCAAAATTCCGGTGTGTTTGGGACATAAAGAGATAAGTTTTCACCAAATATCATGAAAAAAACAATTTTTTTGTAAAAGATAAAAATAAAAAATCAAAAATGTGGTTTTTTGGATTTTTCACATGAATTTTGAGGTTATGGAGAAAAACTATACCAAACAAAACAATACCAAAAAACTACAACTTTGCCATTGAACTTTTTCGATAGGACTTGTAGTTTTGCCGGAAATCGAGATTTACCGATTTTTACCCTTAAAAAACTCCCCCCCCTACCCCTTCCCAACCTCAGATCGCCCGTAATTTATTTTTCCTATCATTTTAGTGGTATTACCTTCCTTTTCCAATAGGTTTCATCCTACTTTAATTTTTTTTCGTTTTTAATTATTTTTGACGGCTTTGACCCTGGTCTATGAGGGGAAATATAACCTCAAATGGCTTAGCATGATCCTCCGGTATGCCGAAAGTATTGCATCATTAATTTTGAAATAAATATATGGTAAAGTTGAGGATTAGTTTTAAGCACTATGTTAGACGAAAACACGATTCCGTAAAATTTTCTCGATAGAAAAAAATCTAAAGTTACCACTGAACAATAAACGGCTGTTATTTATAAAATACTTTAAATAAGATCATTGAAACTTTGTATACTAACTGAACTAACTATAAAGCAGTGCTTATGTTATTTACTTGTTTTTTAAATACCATTATTTTCACTGTAAAAAGAAATTACCTAAACTATCGGCGTCTTAAAGCTTGATTCCTGTCGCCCCGTTAGTATCGCTTAGGCTTTTGAAGGGAGAAGTTGTGTCGCTTGCGATCAGAATACACATTACGCAACAGGACGACGTAAAATTAAAATGGGAAATAACCGTGATAAAAATGAGAAGCCACTGGGTTGGCGTTAAGAAACAGGCATAAATATGATAAACCTATTGAAATAAGTATCTAACCACCTATCTACTTACAGTATTAGTGATTACAAACATGTCGGTACATAGCATACGTCGCGCGGGGAAGTGGGGCCGAAATTAGAATTAGAGCTGACTTACTATATCTCCTTAATCTGTGGAACAAATAACTTCACCTTAGTCCCAACTAGCGACATCTAGTGATCGGAAAATTGTTAGCCCTCATTCAGAAGCACCAACCATAAACTAATATTGTATTTTTTTTCAGTTAGAGCTAAGGAGGGTGACGCATATTTGTTGGGAGCCTTACCAACTGGGACACTTGTACATTGCATTGAAAAGGATCCAGGTAATTATTTTGTAATATCATTTAATATTTATAGTACTTTTTGTATAAGTGGGTATACCATTTTGTACAATGTTATTGTAAATTTTTGAGATAACATAACTACTATTTATTCAATGACACTTCAAACTACAGTAAAATGCAATGTTCTGATTGGCTCTAAGATGTTCACTTAGCATCTGAACCGCTACCCATTATTCACAAGAGAGCCGGGGAAAACATGTTTATAGTTTCTGTTTCTTACTGACAGGTATGGGAGGTCTTTATGTTCACGCGGCTGGAACTCACGGAACTATTATACGGAAACAAGACGATCGTGTCATTGTCCAGATGCCATCAAAAAGATTGTTCAGCTTTAGTCAATATTGCATGGCCGTAGTGGGTTAGTATAGTATGTACATTTATGTGTAATTTTTAATTTTCCGTCCATCGCCGTGTTCTTGAGTGTAGGAATAACAAAAAAATCTCGTAGCATTGGATAGATGGCTGTATAAAAGTCTTGTTTGTTAAATACATAGAAAAATACCCAGACCTAAGTCTGGTACTGGTGTCGCCAATCCAACTGTGAAGTTCCAGGCGACTATGGACAATTTTGTCGTTTAAGAGAGACTTACCGTTCTGCAATATACTGTTGTGTTTTGCTTTGCATAAATTAATTCAAATCTAAAAATGAACTCTTCTTTTAAATCTGACATTATACTGGATGACCTTTTTTACCGTCTGGAAAAAAGTAGGGTGTAACATGTGAACGGAGTAGAAACCCATGGCACTGATATTTTACAAAAAATAAATACAAAAAATTTAAATTAAAAAAATAAATAAATTGAAAGCTATCGAAATTCAGGTCATATCCACCCTACTTTACGAACGCAATAAACTAGTAATAATAAATTTAGTAGGCATCATTGACCTTGTCACTTCGCAGGTTCACAGGCTAGGGTTGATATGATATTTCGATAGATTTCAATTAATTTATTTATTTAATTCAAAATTTTTGTTTTTATATTTTGTAAAATATCAGTGCCATATGCTTCTACTCTGTTCCAATGTTACACCCTATTTTTTCCACACGGTAAAAAAGGTCATTCAATGTAATGCTTGTATTAAAATCTTTTTTATTGATAAATCATGTAGACACATTGTATGTAGTACACTTTCGTTAGAGACATCGTTGGCAGCGCTCGCTAGTCTCTTTCCGTAGACTACTTGGGATATTATAATATAGTTAGTAATCTTTACCAAATGCAACTTTTCAATAACAATTTGTAACTTTCATTATTGTACCTACTGTCGAGGCAAGTTAGCACAGTCCTAAACACCTAACAGACTAATAGTGCTTATAATTTAGCAACAAAATAGATGTACTATCTACTTTTATTTTAATAAAGACATAAATTATACTCTCCACAAGATTTAATTTCGTCTTAAACTTTAGTCAAACCAAAGCTTAATTAAATCAAGCTTTGGTACACCAATGAATGTATTCATAAAAATATATGTGACAGATAACTATCAATACATTTACAATTTGAAGCGACAGTAGCCTAATGGCAGGGCGCGGACCGCAAACTCAAAAAGGTCGTGGGTTCGAATCCGCCATTCAACTACTAGCGTGAACCACTCGTAACACAAGCAATTTAATAAACAATAAAAAAAAAATTAAGCTTACTTCGAGTGGTTAAGGGGAATATTAGAAATGTTTATAGCATAGTTAATATTCTTTTAAATAAAAAATAAAATAAAAAATATTACGTGGTTGTATATATATTACAGGGCGTTTATCAAACGTGGACCACGGAGACACACCTATTGGCTCCCCTCAAAGAAACAGGTGGCTCGGTAATCGACCACGCTCCGGTTTGTGGAAGAGAAAAGATGGCCGTCACGGAAGGAAAATTAAACCGCCGAAGCCAGTGAAAGAGATCTTCCATCCCACCACTAAACCATTGCCAGAGATAAAGTTGAACATGCACCCATAGAAAGTTAAGAAAAATTTAGTAATAGTAAATTTTTAACTGTTAATATAGTTTTTATTCTATTTCCTTTTTTTTATAGAATAAGGGTGACAAACGAGCACATAGTAGTCCACCCGATGGCAAGTGGATACTATGGCCCATAGACATTTACATCTATCCCCAATTAAGAATCAAGACAGATGCGTTATCACCACTGAGGACCAAGATGGAATGCCATATCGGTAAAAAAGGGTCTATGGTCCTCCACACTCACCATACAAAACACAACAGCATTAAGCTGCTACTTTACGCTAGTATTCTGTGAGAGTGGTTCTACCCCGGTCAAGCTGTGCTACAGCCTTAATATAGAAGCAGCGTGACTTTACAACGTACCAACTTCACTTATTTGTACACCTTATAAACTTATCTTTAAAAAAGTAACAGAATATTACCTATAGTAGGTAGGATTGCCTTGCTTAAAGAGTTTTCCAGAAGTCCCATTTTAAATTTCTCGGTATTTTTGAAGCAAGCCTTGAATTGTTTCGAATGTCAATGACATTAAAATAAAACTGGTTTTTACTAATTTTATCGCGTATATTAACTTTTTTTATATTTCCGACGTTTCGAGCACTTTACGGCACCCATCGTCACGGGGGGGGGGAGGTTGGGAGACTGAGGTGTTCAATGTCATAATGTCATAACTAACCACGTCAACCTTCAGATTAAAATGTTTTTTGATTTCGATAGCCTCGCGATACATCCTTAGAGGTCTTCTTTAGCGAGGATTTGTGGTCTATCAAATCTGAATGTAGTGACGACGAAGGCGATTCAGCGCGTGTTTGCAGACTGCATACCTTCCGGATCGTCGATTCTTCACATCAGCTGTGTGTTCTTTCTTTTACGCGGATTTTTATTGGTCTTTTAGGAGCTGCGCAAACCTAGTCACTTTTGTGTTTTGTGTGGTGTACAAGCTACCAGTGAATATTTTATTTTCATAAAATCAATATGAAATCACCCTCACTGACACGTAGATACTTTTTGCGTCCAGTAGCTTCCACTTCACACATCATACTGATCGAAATGTTTAGGCTGATTACGATCAGCCCTATTCTAACAATCTGACTACTATATATTTACAAATTGACGCATGCTTGATAACTCAAGTGAGGTGTAGAGCGAATGAGTTATCTCATACTTAGCGAGCGTTCCGCGTTATCCTGACGTTATTCTTAATTTTATTTGTTTCTTGCTGGTTAATCAAAACTTCGTGTACAGCCAAATCTGGCTGATTTTGGCCAAAGGTACTTATTTGGACGAAGATAGCCGAAGCGCAGCTTCAGTTAGACACTATAAAATGGAGGGGCGTAACTATAAAAAAATACTGAAGATTTGCAGACAAAACTTTATTAAATTTTGAAATAGTTATAACAAGGTGCAAACCACCGAGAGTTATACTTTTATTTGAGGCTATCAGCGCAAAAGTGGTGTAAGCCACAATTTTTGCTGGTTGCGGTTTTGGTGTAAACTACATTCCGTACATTATCAACTTTAAATACAATAGTGGAGTAAGCCACCTTTTGCTATCCAAAAATAGAAACAAAGTTTTTGCACGGAACGTAATGTAGCAGACTAAAAGAGCAAAACTGGTGTAAGCTGAATACACCACTTTTGCACTATAGCAATACAGGTATGTCTGTGGCTTACGTCGAATCCGTAATATAACGTCAGTCGTCAGTCTCAGCCGTCAAAACGGTAAAATTGAGAGAAACTATACTTTATTTATATTCTAAAATACCCAATTATACATACTGAATAACAATATTTTTGCAACTAACTATGAACGAAGAAGATGATATTACTTCAGGTAAGTTAAAATAGTGTCTGATTTACTGCAAATTTTAAACATGTTGAATACTGGGGTACATAACATTTTGTATTTTTTATATTGTTAACCTAGTCAATGTTGGTTACAGTTGGAGACCTGGACTTTGAAGATTCTGGTTCCGACGGACGTGTAACTAGGGTAATGAAGCGCAAAAGTATTCACAATGTCCCACCTATTGATCAGAGAGGTCGACAAAGTTCTGTAAACAAAACATCAGATAATAAGATAGCAGAATTAAAAGAATTCATTGGCAAGTTGCCTATGAGTCTCTCTCTCTCTCTACACTAGACATAAAAGTGAGAATAGGAGATTTCTATCACCAGATCTAAGCCTTGGAAAAATGTATTCTCTCTATAAAGAAAATGTACTTGAACCTTTATCAGCTTTCATGTTCAGTAAAATTTTTAACGAATGTTTTAACCTACGTTTCCATGCACCCATCAGTGATTCTTGTAAAAAATGTGACCTTTTCCATAACAAAATTAAATGCGCTGAGAGTGAACCTCTAAAACAAGAGTCACAACGTGAACAAGAATTACATCAGAGGAAAGCAGACAGTGCAAGACAAGGGCTACAAGATGATACGGCTTTTGCAAAATCATTTACTGATATTACTGTTATTACCTTTGATTTAATGAAAACCCTACCTACGCCTGTGTTGACGACTGGAATAGTGTATTACAAGAGGCAACTTTGGACTTTTTGCTTTGGTATTCACAACATGGGGACAGATGATGCCTACATGTTTGTTTGGGATGAGTCTGATGCTTCGCGAGAACCACAAGAAATTGGTTCTTGCCTGCTTTATTTTTTTAAACATTATGTGAAAACTAAAAAAGTTGTCATGTATTCTGACCAATGTGGTGGGCAGAATAGAAACATAAAATTGGCATTATTCTGTCAGTATATTGTATCTCACCCGGATTTTACTATTGAAGAAATAGACCATAAATTTTTAGTCAGTGGGCATTCTTATTTGCCATGCGACCAAGATTTTGGTCTCATAAAAAAAAATAAAAAATTCTTCAAAGAAATTTACTTACCGGAAAACTGGCTTGAAGTAATTAAATTTGCACGAAAAAGGCAACTGTTCAAGATAATAAGAATGACAGCAACTGATTTTCTATCAAGTAAATCCATAGGAAAAAATATAACCAACAGAAAAATTTAAGTGAGCAGCACCAAGGTGGAGTGGCTAAAAATTCAATGGCTAAAATTCCATAAAGTCCACCCTTTTTCAATTTTTTACAAGTATTCCAACAATGAGGAAGCACTCTTTGATGAAGTCAGTGTAAAAAAAGGCAGTTGGTGGCCTTAACACAACTAGATACATTGGAAAAACCAATTATTGTTGAAAAAAAAGAAAAAAGACCTTCTTGAACTTTTGCAGTTCATCCCACCAGTTCATCCCACTTTTTATAAAACACTAAAAAGTTCCAACAGTGTCCAGGATGAAGCTTATTATGATGAAACAGATGAAGATTAACCCATTATTATTGTTTTCTTTAATAAACGTGCTCTAAAATGGTGTAACCTGTCTATTATTTTGATTTTGACCCAAATAACATAAATGCAGAAGTGGAGTAACCCACATATTTTTCTTTATTATTAGTTTAAATTTTATAAAAGTAGACAACTATTGTCGAGTTGGAAGTTCTTTTTATAAATAAAAAATAAAACATTAAAAAAACATTTAAAAAAAATAAAAATGTTTTTGCAAATTTTAAATCCTTCCATTTCTCCTATGTGGCACTGTCGAGGGTTACACCGCTTTTGTGCTGATAGCCTCATGTAATCTACATATAACTTACAAAATGAAATAAATTACATAGATATAGATAAATTTTATACATATTTTATTTATAGCCTCCCTCTAAATAAGTCATACCTTTGGTATTCATTAAACTTAGCTTATAAAAACAAGCATAAATTGTCGCGGCGTTTTGACGTAGTTAATTTCAATATAAAGCAAATGTGTTCCGTAAAAGTGAACTTAACATTATCATAACCAGATTGAAGTTCAGTTATTGGTTAAAACCGATGGTTCAGCTATTGCCGTAACCATGGACCAAAGGTGAAGGTTGGAAATTACTTGAAAATTTCTTCTAACACTAACGAATCAAGAACAGAATGCAAATTCGGTATTATTATTTTTATATCCCAAAAATAAATGATGTATATAAATTTCTATTATATAAATATTTCTATTATAGAAAACACAGTTTAACAAAATTAATTACCTATTAATTAAAATATATATAATCAGCCTTTGAACAATGTATCAGTTAAATAACAAGTTATACATATAGCGCTTAACAACTGAGTTTTTGGGGATCTATTTACATAAATGTTAAGTTGGCAACTAATAAACATCATGATTGTTTTAAAATACTAAAAAATACGTGTGGCACATCGGTGATTGCCGCGGTAAAGCTATTGCATAGCATTTTTTATCAACTTATGCCATTATAATTATTTATTTATTTTATTTATGCAGTTAAGTCTTTGATATTAAATCAAATTACACTTTTTGAGCGTGGTGACTGATAAGAAAAAATTTTTTTTCTCTTATTGAATATTTTTAATATCTTACAATACATGTAGGTTATTCAGGAATTTTTATCATTGAGTTAGCAGCTAGTGTACACGCACACAAACACCGTGCCGAAGTCTGCCGAGTGCCGAAGTCTGCCGAACTAAAACGACGTTAGACGATGCACGGCTTTCAACGCCACACCTCCGTGCCCGTCGGAGTGGGGAGCGTGAGGTTTTTTTCGTTACGGAATTTCTGGAATTCGGTCCCCGCGCTCAAGGCCCGCGATAGAAGCTATGCAATAGCTTAAAATAAAAATTATAGAATACGGGTGACACATAACGGGTTATTCCGTTTATTCATCCTAGGAATCAATCCACACTCGGAAACACGAGATGTTGAATTTGTATAAAATCCAATACGTAATAAGGTTTTAGTTTATGTTTATGATTATTAAACCTTTATGAATAGTGTATTTAAAGTATGACTACATTTTCTGTTAACTGTACAATGAAAAAGTGTATTCCGATTATCCACCCTAGGATGGATTTCTTAGGGTGGATATACGGAATAACCCAAAGGCGCACACAGTCCGTCTAATGCTAAGCGGATGCCGTGGCCCTTTCTGGATAAAAACCCCTCACCGTTACCCCTGAGGACTATGATGGAATGCTTCGTTTCTAGTTTAAAAATAAACTGTTATTTTAAGATAGTATTCTGTGAGAGCGTAGCTCTTCCCCAGTCGAACCGGTCCCATTAATTATGCAACTATAGAATAGCTAAAGCGAGCCACTATCACGTATGAAACGACGACACTTATATTTGAGATATGCATTGTTTGTTTTATTTAATTTATTTATTAAATATTATTTATTGCACACCATACAAAAATTAAAAAGATTATAATACAAAATAAGTACGCAATGGGCTGTCTTATTGCGTATATTTAAGAATAAAATAAATTTGTGTACAGGTTGGCAGATTTGTTCATTGCCAATCAGAATAAAGCATAATGATTTCTTAAATTTACGCGAACACTACACATTGAATAAAACTATTATTTACGGAGTTTATCGCGTTTAACTACTTTAATTTATTATCTCGACTTTTTAAAATGTAATATTCCTCTACAAGATGCAGGTGTGTACAAGCTAGATTGTGAATGTGGTCTCTCTTACATAGGTCAAACAAAAAGATCTATAAAAACCCGCGTGAAGGAACATATAGCTGACGTGAAACACGACGCTCCGGGAAGTCTGCAGTCTGCGAACACGTTCAAGATCGTCTCCACCATTACATTAGATTTGATAAACCACAAATCCTCGCAAAAGAACACCGATTCCTACCAAGGATGATACGCGAGGCTATTAAAATTAAAAAAAAAAACATCAAAATTTCAATAGAGAAGATGAATGGGTGCTGCCAGCTGCTTGGGATCCTATAATTAACAAAATTAAACCCAAACCCATGCATACCACTACAAGACTTCATGATACTATAAAGCTCGTTTTGCGTAAATCAGACCAAAAATTAATATTCAAAAACTGAAGGTCGGAACTGATATTGGGACGTCAACATCTCCCCCGTGACCATGGGTGCTGTAAAGCACCCGAAACGTCGGGGTAATAAAAATAAATTAAAGTAATTAAACGCGATAAAATCCGTAAATAATAATTTTATTCAGAATAAAGCAATGAAAAATATGTTGTTAACAGTCTTATAATGTTACTAGACACTTAAGTCTGTTCGGCAAGAGTTCATAAATATTATTAAAACGTCTCGCAATAGCAACTGTCGTTAAAGTATCGCAGTTTGTGTGACAAGTGTCGCTAATTGCGGCATGCACAGAGATAAGGATCTCCTAGGTGTGCGTTGTTTGTGTTTAGCAGTGAACACATACAACCGCGGTACGACATACTCCGCCGATCGTTGAGTCCGCTGATTCCGTTAGGCGTCGAGGTCACCGGCCCGTAGGCAGATTCTTAGGCGCTCTAAAACGTTCGTGTTTTTAGTGCCTAGTCGCGCGTTAGAGTGCCACCATCGCACTTCCCCCAACCCTTTTGTTGCAAAAGGGGTAGGCAGTGCCCCAAGTGAGGATAGTCAACTTTTTACTATCACCACCATCCGCGTCGCGCATCACCATCTGCTGCCGATCGGCTGGAATTTAGATAGGGCCTATGGTAAATTACCACTGACTGTTAGGTAGGGAAATACGTCAGGTAAAGATAAGGGGGAGCCTCCTCCCAAATCGAGGAAACCACCAGATCGACCGGGCGTATTGGAGAGGCCAATCGCCTATCGCGATATTTTTAACCCGGAGAGGATGAGAGTAGTGTCATCCTACTCCCAAATACCGACCCGCAAGCCTTCGTCGCCGGATAAGGAGCCCGCATCGAGGGCCGCACTCTCGCCCATCGTACCTGAGTGTACGACCAACCGCTGCCCTCGTCGAACTTCGGGCGGAGCAGCATGGATTCAGGAGGGATCACTCAACAGCAACACAGCTGACCAGAGTGCTGCACCTGCTTGCGGCCGAGCACAACCGCGGCCGCATATCGTTGGGCGTCTTTCTCGATATCGAGAAGGCGTTCGACTGGGTGTGGCACCCTGGATTACTCTACAAGTACTCTATATTGCGGCTAGTGGCGTCCTTCCTCGTAGACAGGAAGTTCTACGTCTGTGTAGAGGACGCCGAATCCGCAATAAAACCGATAAGAGCTGGTGTGCCACAGGGCAGCTCTCTGTCTCCAGTCCT